CAAAATGAGAATTAGAGGCCCAGTTGGTGCCAATAGCTGAGAGGTTAGCCAGGAACGAGAGAGCAGAGACTGCTATCAATGATCTGATTTAACTCTTTGTCTCCTTTTCTTTTTGAGTTTTTTTTTTTTTTTCAACCACACAGGTGGTTGGAAACTCATTTTTTAGACTAGGCTGGCCTCGAACTCACAGAGATCCTCCTGCCTCAATCTCTGCCTTCCAAGTGTTGGGATTAAAGGTGTGTGCCACCAAAAAAAAAAAAAAAAAAAAAAAAAGAAAAGAAGTCTTGGTGATATTTTAGCTTTTGTATATATATAAGCTGGTTCCTAAAATGATTTTCTTGTGGGCCTCCAAGAACTCCTAATAGTGTATTTATCTAAAATGCCTATCAAACATCCAAGGCCATACGAAACAACACCTGTCTCCTAGGTCAGGAGGATAGCTTTATTTCTTGTGCAATTTAGGGTGAGACCCTCCTTTTTTATATAACCTTACTAATGGACCCCTAACTTCTTACCTAACCACTTCCAGGAATGTAGACTGAGTACATAGATCCCCTTTTCGATATACTAACAGTCATTAGCACTCAGCTGACCTTCTCTTTTACCACTCCCATTTTCAGGTTGTAAAAGAAAGCCTGGTGGTCACTGCCTGAGGAAAATTCTTATCTACCTTTATGACCCCGTAGAATCCAAGCCTGGTGAACTTGCTCGACCAGGGAATTGCTGCTTGGGTTTATAACTGGACGCCTGAGAGACTTGGGTAGAACTTAGAGACAGAGAATGAAGAGGGATAAGGAGGATTTTGACCAGAGAGAATTTGTGGACGAGATGGAAGATGAAAAAGAGTCAGATGGGGAAGTACTAGCTGGGTAAGAACGAGATGAGAAGGACCTAGATGAGGCAGAATTATGATAGAACTTAGAGGGAGCAGTAGATAAATATGGAGAGAAATCAGGCAAGAAAGGAGCTAGGCACGAGAACAGAACTGTGTGTGTAAATAGGATGTTATCCCAGAAGAACAAAAGTGAATGGACTAAAGAGCTCGGTGTGCTGAGATTCTATTTCCTGAAAATAGTCCTTGCTGTTCGTAGTCTCTCTCCTGAGCCCCTGGGATTTATAATATTAAAGCTGGTCCCGCTAATATTATACAGGACACATCTCTAAAGACACGTTGGGAAGATGGTAAATTATTGTGAATCCAAGACGAACTCCAAAAAGCCCTGTGGCTTTTTTTTTTGCCTTCTTTCCTCTCTTGGCTCACTGGTTTGGGAGGAAGCCAGATGGCCTGTGGGGAGCATGCTCCAGCAGCCCTGTTTACAGGTTGATGTGATGAGAAATGGAGGCTTTCTGCTGATGGTCACATGAACAGGCAGCTTGGACCAGAATCCTTCGGCTGCTGTTGTCTTCAGATGTCTGTTGTTCCTGGAATGCTTAATTGAAACCTCATGGAGCCAGTTAGGACCACCAGCTGGCGAGCTCTGTGTGAGCTGATCCAGAGCATCCAACACCTAGAGTGTGGGATGACAGACACTAAGCTGCTGGGCTTGGAGATATGAGTTAGGTGGTATTAAGAGCTAATATTGGACTGCCAGATGGTGGTGGCAGATGCCTTTAATCCCAGCACTTGGGAGGCAGAGGCAGGTAGATCTCTGAGTTTGAGGCCAACCTGGTCTACAGAGTGAATTACAGAATAGGGCTACACAGAGAAACCCTGTCTCAAAAAAAACAAACAAAATAAAAGAGCTAATATTGGGTCAGGCTTGGTGGTGCATGCCTTTAATGCCAGCACTTAGGAGGCAGAGGCAGGAGAATGTCTAAGTTTTAGATTCAGCTATCTCACCAACCTGCTCTGAACTCTCAACTGCATTTGAATTTAACCGCATTGAAATTCACTCATGGTTCGGTCGGTCACTTTGTCTCAAATGTGTTAGAATGTATTCAGAATTATTGACTCCACGTTCAAACATAAACCACTCCGCGTGTACCAGCCCTCCACCACGTGGACCCGAGAAGGCTGAACAAGCACATGATGACTTAGCGTTTTGACCTGTTGTTCACCTCTGCTTCGTCTGGGGTCTGGAAACCTCAGACCCCTCAAATCCAGGGACCAGCCGTCCGGTGCCTCTGGGTCGTCATGGCAACGGTGCTCTCAGGTTCCTGATTGGTCATGAGGTTTAGAGAGCCTGCATTATTATTATTGTGAGGAATAAATGCCTAGCCCCTTAGTGATGTCCAACATCGCCATAGCAACTCCAGTTTTTAGTTCCTAAAGGTTCACTGAGGCCCATCTTGGCCTTAACCACAAGAGGACCCACACAATGGCAGGGGATCTTTATGACCCTCTTTGAGAAAGGCTGGAACCGTCTTGTAGAATGGAGCCCCTTTGTGTCGTCGTGTTCCCCGCCCCCACACTTCAGAAGAAGAGAGCTGGCAACAGGGCTTGGGAAAGGTAGGCAGTAATAGGTAGGGAGGCACCAAGGTAGTAATTAGCAGATGCTGGGCAACCTCTGGGTTCTGACACCAGCCTCCTCTTGGTGGAGGAGAAAAGGCCCAGGTTCCAAGCTCTGGGATGAATAGGGGCGAAGATGCTGCAGTGGCATCTAAAAGGCAGTAGATTAGGACTGGAAAGGAAGGGCCCTCAGCGTCTACCCAGCTTTCACATTGTCCATTTGTGGAGGCTACACCAGCTCCTAAGTATGCGTGCAGATACAGCTGTTGGGAACCTTCCTTTTTTAAATTTTTAAAAAGATTTTTACTTATGTATTTGATATATGAGTGATCTATCCATGTATTAGCCTCCATGCAGAAGAGGGCATCAGATCAATTTCCACCAACTCGGGACTTCTGGAAGAGCAGTCACTGCTCTTGACTGCTGAACCATCTCTGAGTCAGTCTCTTCCTTAAGGCAGCCTTCATGGACCACAGTCAGGCTGAGATTCTTCTCTCCTTCTCCTGTGTATTGCTAGCCAAAGACCCCTTTCTGGTCCGTCCAGACCAAGCCTACTGTTGCCTATCCCCACTCACCCAGGTTGGAATGGAGGAAGGGAGGGCTGAGGGGGGGGGGCTATCTCTGAGACCCCACTCCCCACTCAGTGGGCTGAATAGTGGCTTCCAGAAACATTCACTTCCTAATCCCTGGACTATATCTTATGTGGCAGAATAGACTTGCAGTTGTGATGAAGGATCTAAAAACGAGAGGCTGTGACTGGTGGCACAGGCCTGGAACCCCAGCTGCTCAAGGCTGAGGCATGAAGGAAAGAACTCTTAAGTTCAACAAGGCCAGCCTAGAAAACACAGTGAAAAACTGTCTTAAAAACAAAAATTCAGGCCGGGCAGTGGTGGCACATGTCTTTAATCCCAGTACTCGGGAGGCAGAGGCAGGCAGATCTCTGAGTTTGAGGCCAGCCTGGTCTACAGAAGTGAGTTCCATGACAGCCAGAGTTACACAGAGACACCCTGTCTCAAAAAACAAAACAAAAACAAACAATAAAATAAAAATTCAGCCAGATGGTGGTAGTGCATGCTTTTAACTCCAATACTGGGGAAGCAGAGGCAGGTGGACCTCTAAGTTCTAGGCCAGCCTGGGCTACAGAGTGAGTTCTAGGACAGCCAAGGCTACACAGAGAAATCATGTCTCTTAAAAGAAAAAAAATTCAAGGGCTAGAAAAATGGCTCAGTGGTTAAGAGCTTGTGTTGTTCTTGCAGAGGACCCAAGTTCCATTACTAGCACCCACATCAGGCAGCTCACAACTGCCCAGAACTCCAGCTTCAGGGAGGTGAATTTTCTTACCTCCTTGGGCATATACACAGCATACACAGACACATATACATACACATAAATACATAATAACAATTTTAAAAAATTCAGGCAGGGTGGTGGTGGTGCATGCCTTTATTTAATCCCAGCACTTGGGAGGTAGAGGCAGGTGGATTTCTGTGAGTTTGAAGCCAGCATGGTCTACAGAATGAGTTCTAGGACAGTTGGGTCTACACAGAGAAACTGTCTTGAAAAACTAAATAATAATAATGAATAAATAAATAAATATTCAAAAATGACTGTACATGTAAATCAGTGGTGGAGTGTATTCGTGAGGTCTTGGGTTCAGTTCCCAGCAACACACACACACACACACACACACACACACACACACACACACACACACACACACACCTTGAGTTGGTTAATTGTCTTGGATTATCTGGCTAGGTGGGTCCAGTGTGCTCCTAGTATTTTTATAAGTGAAAAAAGATAGCTGGAGGGTCAAGGAAATTTGGAGATGTGTTGCTGGCTTGGAGGAAACCACAAGGAAGGCAGTTCTAATAGCTGGACATTTAAGGAAAGAGATTCTCCCAGAGTCTTCAGAAGGACCTGGGACTGTTGGCTACCCAAGTTTATTGAATGATTATTGATTTTTATTTTGTGACAGGATCTCACATAACCAGGCTGGCCTCAAATTCACTATGTTGCTAAGGGTGGCCTTGAACTATATTGGTCTTCCTGCCTCCATCTCCTAGGTGCTGAGATTACATTTCTGTGCCACCACACTTAGTGAGGCCCCTCAGTTTTAGCCCCATGATAGGATCTTAGGCTTCTGGATTGCAGAACTGTGAGGTAATGTGTGTGGTTCTACGACATGGTATCAGGGGTAAGTTTTTACAGGAGCCAGAGACCACTAAAACAGAATTCCCACTCTGTTCCCACTGGACCAGCCTGTGAAGCTGGGCAGTGGTACCCAGTGATCCAGTGCATTGATCCCAGTCTCTGTGGGTGACGCTGGCACCCGGGTATGACCCAAGAACTGGTCTGCGAAGACACACCCTTGGCTTCCCTGATGTTCTTCCTCTGGCTTCCTACCTGGTAGCAGCAGCTGAGTTGTTCCCACAGGCATGCCAAGGCCCCCTGGTAGCTGGGAGCTTGCAAGCCTAGGGTGCCCATGGCTTCATCCTCAGATGCTGTCACACCCCGACAACCATTCTGTACTAGTTGATGCCTGGTGCTGAGGACACACACGTAAATAAACCACACAGAGGCCTCCAGATATGTAGAAGTCACATTTCATTCTGGAAAATGCTGCCCACCCTTAACACACATCGTCTCATGCCAAGTGAGGTAAGCCAGGACACGGTGTTTCAGAGGTCTGTGGTCAGCCTATGCAGAGAGTAGCTGCCTTTCTCCTACTCTGTGTCTTAGCCAAAAAGGCTTTTGGAAGGAAGACAGGAGCCACCTTCCATAGAGGTGGACGCTGGAAAGGCTTCGACTTCAGCAGAGGCATAGAGGGAAGGCTGGGCAGAGCTGATGGAGCCCCGGAGAAGGGGGAAGATGGGGATAATGGGATTAAAGCAGACACAGGACCAGCATCTCTCATGTTAGCTATGGAGGGCCATGGCCTTCCTTCCCTGTTGAATGATTCTGAGCCACAGGGAGGCCTTAACTCTCCAAGCCGTGATGACCAGAACTGTTCCACAAGGTACTGAGTAGGTCCTAGAAACCAAAGTCTGGAGGAGACATCAAACTCCCAGACCAGCTTGGGATATACTTCCCAAATGAGAACCAATTTTCAGAAGTCAGGGCCCCTCCCATTCCTAGCCGGGCCACCCCTGGTCCTCCAAGTCAGAGTCCTCGTCAGCTGTGCAGGTGCTGAAATTTACAGACTAGCTGTGGGCCGCAAGACACATAATCAGAATAGTAACAACAGTTTTGTACTCCGAAGATAGGGGCCCCAGCCCCACTGTGGTGAGTCCAAAGGATGAGTGGATCAGATTGGATCAGAGCCTTCATCCTCAGAGCTGACCAGGAATGTCTCCCTTAGGGGGCTGTGGTGAGGATGATTTGAAGTGCTTCTAACACCATCCCATCAAGATCAAAGCTAAGGCACCCTGACACAGTCCTGTATAGATGTCACCGTGGGGAGAGGCCAGCTGGACTTGCACAGAGATGAGAATCAGGGGTACCCCAACTAGACCTACACAAGGGTATGGTTCAGAAGTAATCGTCAGTAGGACCCTTACAAAGGTCTTCCAATAAATCAAAAAAAAAAAAAAAAAAAAAAAAAAGGTCGTGCGTGGCCTGGTACCTTCAATTAGATGTTCATGGGAATCAGACATTCTCATGGAATGATTACAGTGGTTTGAGAGAGTTCGTGCCTTTTCAGTCCCCAATCTGGAGAGATGCATTCTGTTAATGCCCTCCAGGATAACACAGAAATCCTCAGGCCAGGAGACAGGGCTATAGCACTGAGGCATTTATTGCTGTAGTTACAACCTATTCCCATCATCCTGTGCCTGCAGGTTCCAGCCAAGGTCAGTCTCTGCCTTCGGTGTTTGATCCAGTGGTGTATCCAGGGGCCCTGGGTCCTTGGTAGTAGCCTCCTCAAGCTCTGGCGTGTCCTTGGTAGCCTCTGGCAGGGTACTATCCAGGTCCAGGTCAGGCTTTGTGGGGCGCAGCGTCCAGGAGTGGGTCCAGGGTGCTATTGATGTGGGCCGCGGCGGTTGCCAGAAGCTAGGATCGGGGGCCAGAGCTACGACCTGAGGCCGCCCAAGGCCGGAGGTGGTGACATGAGGGATGAGGAAGAAGATGTAGACACCAGAGACAACGAGGCCCGCGGCCACCAGCACGGCCAGAGCCACAGCCGCGTTGAAGGCCCACGTGGGGCTGCTCATGGACAGGCGACGCGACAGCGGGCGGCCGAGGCGCAGCGGGGGTGGAGGCGGCGGGGCTCGCGCTGTGCGGCTCTTGCGTGGCCCCGGAGACGGTGGCGGGGGCCGCAGGTACAGGAGCCCTCGGCGGCGGTCGAATCGCACGGAGCCCTGGCGTGGGGGTGCCACGCGCGCCTCGCGAGGCAGCAGGCTCGGCTGCGTGGGTAGAGCGGGGAGCCCCCGGCGCGGGGCCAAGCGTGTGGGCGCACGGCACATGGGGCAAGCCACTGCGTCACCGCCACCCGCCGTAGCCAGGGATAGGCGGGCCAGGCACTCGAGACAGAAGACGTGGCCGCAGTCCAGGCGTTTTGGTAGCTTGAAAACGCCGTCGAAGGGTGACACGCAGATAAGGCACTCCATGGGGGATGCAGGGGGCAGGATGGGGCTGTCGCCCGGGTTGCCATCGCCCTCCTCCTCTTCTGCGTCCTCATTTTCGCCTCTGCTAGGGGACGTGGGTGCAGAGAGGGTACCTGGGGAGCCCGGGCTTGAGCCCTGGGAGGCTCGGTGGCGGCGGAGCCAGAGAAGCCGAGGACACGGCATCCAGATTGTACCTATGAGGAGAAGGGCTCAGGTAGGGATCTGGAGGTTGTGGCAGGTTGGTAAGATATTTCAAAGGGGAGCAGGGAGAATGAAGTTATGCAGAGTGGGTCCAAGGAGGCAGAGATGAGTCCTTAGTTGGACTCTCAGTCCCCAAAGTCAAGATAAAGTAGGTAACAGACTGAAGCAGCTTTAAAAGTCTGAAGGATCCATCTTCTTAGGGGAGATGCAAGAGGGAAGACACCAAACCAAGTCAGGATAGCGCCACAGGGAACAGAGGAGCAGTATTTAGACTCCAGGGCGGTGGTTCTCAATCTGCGGGTCGCATCCTATTAACAAGGGTTGCCAACGACCACAGGAAAAGATGTCTACATATTACAAGTCATAACAGTAGTCAAATTAGTTATGAAGTAGCAACAAAAATAATTTATGGTTGGGGGCCACCACCACATGAGGAGCTGTCCCTAAAGGGTCGCAACATTAAGGCTGAGAACCTGTCACTTGTTCACCAGATTCTGGAACAAGAGGTACCTAATAGCTGAGAAGCAAAGTAGGAAACCCAGGGTGTAAGATCTACCACCAGACAGGAATGACTAGCCAAGTTTGCAGGACATCCTACCTGTCGATGCTGGTTCGGATGAGTATCCTGGTGAGTCTCTCCTGTTCTGACCCCAATTTCTGGCTTGTCTGCCACTAGGCTGTCAAGTGCCCCTCCCTGGAGGGCACCTGACCTTGGGCCAGCCCTCTCCAGGTTCCCATGTACCTGTCAAACCTGTCTGGCTGCTTACCCCGCCCCCAGGCCCCTCCTACTAGCACGAACACCAAGTCTGATCTATAATGGATGCAAGGCTGGCTGGGAAGTTGAATCGCACAAGGGCCATAGACCACTGTGCAAAGCCTCCACAGCTGGGCTCCCCGAGACACGTGAAGCCTGTACATAAACACTAAGGGAGTGAGCAAACTGGACCCCATCATACCCTGACTAGACAGACCTAACAGGGACTACTTTTTAAAAAAAGATTTACTATGTATACAGTGTTCAGCCTGCATGCCAGAAGAAGGTGTCAGATCTCATTACAGATGGTTGTGAGCCACCATGTGGTTGCTGGAACTCAGGACCTCTGCAAGAACAGCCAGTGCTCTTAACCTCTGAGCCATCTCTCCAGCCCCAACAGGGACTATCTGAAACACAACCTCAATGTTGTGTGTATACACTATGGATCTTTAGCACCCCAGCCCTTCCCCTTATCAGACCCAGAGGGTAACAGCAATCCACCCCTCACTCCCAGTACTTAATGGGTCATTCCCAGGCACTGAGTTTACACTGTGACCAGCACTAGACCAGAGTGGTACTTGCCAGGGAAATACATTTCTCGTGGGCCAACATGCCAGGAAGGAGAGCATCCCCTATAGCCATGGGAAGCACCCTACCCCCTCAATGACAGACAAGAACAAAGGCAGGTGGAACTTTCCCAAAGGGCACACAGTTTATTAGGCAGCAGCTGGGAAATCAGCGGTTAGACTTGGCCACACGCTCCAGTTCATCTTTCTTCTTGATGGCGTAGGAGTTGGAGGAGCCCTGCAAGGACAGGTGGTTAGCTCTGAATGGTGGATGAGCCCCCAGTACCCAGCCCAAGGTGTGCCCCGACCCACCTTGGCAGCATTGATGAGCTCATCTGCAAGGCACTCAGCAATTGTCTTGATGTTCCTGAAAGCGGCCTCACGAGCTCCTGTGCACAGCAGCCAGATGGCCTAGAGAAGACAGATAGGGCTCAGGCCACAAAAGGGTACCAGTCTTCCCAGTGATCTGGGACCCACCTCTACAGAAACCTGCTTTTCATCACTACACGCTGTCACCCAGAGATGAGATACAAGGGAGCAGACATCCTATCAGACAGCGGGCTAAAAAAACAAAACAAAAAAAACATGGGTCCCTACTACTTAAGTGCCAGCAAAGTGTAAGATGCTCTTGACTTCATCATAGTATGGAAGGATCAAGCAAATCCACCTTGTGCCTCTCAAATAGTTAAAACTTATTTATGTCACCACTCAACAGGCTCATAAATGGATCAAGTTTAAAACATATAAATAAAAAAACCCTAAACCTGCTTTAAAACTACACACGAGGAATTAAATGAACCAAACCTAGGAGGAAGGCTGGGACTCCATTTGCCCACACAGGGTGGAAATCCAGGAAGGTTTCCTGGAGGAAGTGAGGCTCTGGGTAAAACATGCAAGCCAGAACTCCACCCACTCATGCTGGTGGTTCCTGTCCCAGCCCTTCACAAGCCTGACGCACCTGATTCACACGGCGCAGTGGGGACACATCCACAGCCTGCCGTCTCACAGTCCCAGCTCGCCCAATTCGGGTTGAGTCTTCCCGGGGGCCACTGTTGATGATGGCATTCACCAGGACCTGCAGAGGGTTCTGGCAGAAAGGGAGGCCATGAGCCTGACACCCACTCCCAATCTCCCCCAGAACAAGGTGGCAGTGTCACAGGTGATGAATCTGGCACATGCACCGTGAAGCGTTGGCATGAATCAAGGGCAGTCTTACCTCACCAGTGAGCAGGTGGATGATCTCAAAGGCATGCTTGACGATCCGCACAGTCATAAGCTTCTTGCCGTTGTTGCGGCCGTGCATCATCATGGAGTTAGTGAGGCGCTCCACAATGGGGCACTGGGCTTTTCGGAAGCGCTTGGCGGCATACCGCCCCGCACTGTGGGGCAGGTACTTGGCATACTTCTCCTTCACAGCAATGTAATCCTGGGTGGCAAAGTGAGGATGAAGGGGCAGTCAGGGTTGGGACCGGCCTCAGAGGGGCATCGGAGGGGACTGAGAACTGGCTCAAGGCATGGCATGCCCCAGCAGGCCGTGAATGTGAGCCTTGAGAATAGAACTGAACAAGTGACTGGTGAAGTCACACACACACACCTCTACATTCCAACACTCGGGAGGCAGGAGGATCACTAATGGTTCAAAACCAGCCTGGTCTACAGTGTCTTTCAGCATAGTCAGGGCAACACACTGAGACCTTACTGGAGGAGAGGGCTGTCCAGTGCACTACAGGACACTTGGCAGCACTTGGTTGATTATTCTGGCAACATGGTGATCCCAGGCCATGACTACATAGTAAGACACACACACTCTCTCAATTAAGTCATATAAAAAAGGAAAAAAGAAGGGGGGGGGCGGGGCGCTGGAGAGATGGCTCAGAGGTTAGGAGCCCTGGCTGCTCTTCCAGAGGACCCAGGTTCAATTCCCAGCTCCTACATGGCAGTTCACAACTCTCTATAACTCCTGTTCCAGGGGATCCAATACCCTCACCCAGACATACATGTAGGCAAAACACCAATGTACATAAAATACAAATAAATACATAAAAAAAAGAGAAAAATAATTGAGATCTAATGTGACCTGTGAGACAGAAAACATTTACAATCTTACCCCTTACCCAAGAAGTTCCCAGGTATTCCTGGGTAACATTGCAGTTAGTTAGGTGGTAGTTGGCCTAGCGTGTGAATAGCCCTGGATTCGATCCCTAACAGCAAAAATAAGATCGCAGACCTCTATAAACAAACGCACAAAGTAAAGACCCACCAGACAAGGCTGAGTATACTTTGGATAGAATACCTGGGTCCTGTTGTATACCTTTCTCCTTTATTTACTTGTTATTTACATACATGTTATGTATGTATAGAAGTCAGAGGATAATTTACAGCTGTCAGTTTTCTTCTTCTATCTGTGAATTCCAAGGGTTAAATTTATGTTGCCAGGCTTAGTAGCAACTGTCTTTACAAGCAGAGCCCCTGCACAGGCCCATTCTGTGGCATCTTTATTTTAATTTAATTTCTTTGAACAAAAGGGACAAGAGAGCCTAAGAATGTAGTTGAAGTCAGTAGGGCCTTGCCTTGCACATACAAAAACCTGGGTTCAATTTCCAGCGGTGTGTAAACCTGGGCATGGTGATATATGCCTACAATCCCAGCATTTGTGCAGAATGCACAAGATGATTATTAGCTCTTTCCACTATATAGTGGGTTTCAGGCTAGCCTGAGCTATATGAGACTGTCTCAAAAGGGATATGAGTGCAAAAAAGAGAAACAGCACCACCACTTTAATTTGCACATATACTAACACGGCCATTAAATAGCACCCACACACCCAGAGCCAACTGACACTTAGGAGGGGGCAGTAGGGACATCTCACTATGTAGCTACAACTGGCCTCATACTCAAAATCCTCTTACTGCAGCTTGAAAGCAACAGTTCAGGCACACACCACCATGCCCAGCTTACCAACTGACTTTGACAAGGGTGCCAACATTGTTCAGGTTGGTTAAAGTGATCAGAAGATACTGCCAACTGAACATATGAATGCAAAATGATACAAAGACAGATGTATTAACACAAGTCTTTAATTCCAGCACTTGGGGAACAGAGGCAGGAGGATCTCTATGAGTTCCAAGCCAGCCAGGGCTACATAGTCAAGGCCCTGTCTCAAAAGACAATGGATTCAGAAAAGAAAAAAAAAAATTACAATACACTGTAACAACTTTTGGTATAGGTTGTAACAAGGCAAGGATATGGCTGTCCAGTTATTGCTCTTCTATCTGGCTATAAACACGAACTGGTTTAAACCTAGATGTCATATGTCCTTTTCTGAACTGGAAGAATCCACATCTGCTCTCAATCAAAAGCCAAAAAGACTACCACCAAGTTCCTTTTACCTGTAGAGAAATATCGTTGATCTGCACATCATCAGTGCTCCATTTCCCAAAGAGCTTGATGTCTGGGGTCTCTGCCACTGCTGGTGTGGCTGTCTCCCACTCCGTCATTCTGGGGACGGGATAGCAACAAGAAACCGTTATTGTTCATCCACCCTAGAACAGTCATATTTACCCCAAATTCTCGAGACTAACCTCCACTTTGTGGGAAACTGTGTAGTAAAAGGGAACCCAAAAGCTTTGAACCTCTCTCCAAACCTAGGAAAACGACTGAGCTGTAGAAAGAACCTGCTCTCTACTCAGGAACCCGAGATCTAGGTCCCGACAGTCACCCAGCTAAACAGCGGGTACACGGAACCCAGTATGATATAGCTCATGAAGCCATGCAGACACCCATCGGCACATATCCTGTATCAAACTCCCACTGTGCACTTATAAGGCGTCCATCCTGCGAAAAGCAACTAGCAGTCATGACTAACATGGGAGTAAGGACCACCGTATGGATCCAGAGGGATAATCAATACAAGTGTTTCCTTCCTTGTCTGACCCTATGGAGACGCTAGGGACTGTCATGGAAGAAAACGTGGATTGAGCAAAAGGATCACTAGAAAACTAAGAGGAACTAGATGTTCGGTCGCTATATAACCCTAGAATCCAAGTGACTTTCCTAGGGTGCCGAGTGTTAAAAGTATGGAGCCAACACAGCGCAAACGGGGCAAAGAGTAACCGGCCCGGGCGAGTTTCCTGGACACTCTTTTCCGGCGGGAAGAGGTGAGGTCCAAACGGGAAGGCCCAGGCCTCGGGTCCCGCCTCCGGGTCCCCAAATGTCCCTCGGAACACACAGGGCCGTCCCTTTGGAACTCCGGGCCCCTCCGCAGCCTCACCTGAGGGCGCAGACCGGGCTTCACGGTCGCTCGGCGTGGACCACGCGCCGTCCTGGCACAGACAGGAAGAGGCCGCGCGCTGCGGGCCGGCGCCTTTAAGTGAAGCGAAAACTTCCGGGTCAGAGGCAGGGACGCATGCGCAGAGGAACAAACGTGCTCATGGACCAATCTGGAGTTAGGATGAGACGCGCCCTTTGAGCCGTACAGAGCATGTGCACTTTCAGAAACAGCGCCACAACCATCTTCTGGCCGATGTCTGAAGTACCTGCCGAGCTTGTGTGTGTCGGTGAACATGCGCAGAAACGTCCGCGAAACGAACACCGCCATATCTAAAAAGGGCAGCCGTCCAGTCCACGCTCACGGCAAACGGGCTGCAAAGCCAAGGCGCCAGGGACCGTGGGATCCTCTAAGGCAGCCAGGTCGGCTCAGTATTTCTCGACAAAATGGTGGGGTCGGGTCTGGTGGTCACCACTGATCCGGGTTCGCAAGCATCGGCCCCACCCTCTCTACCTTCCTGGCCAGCGGGGCTCGGCGTGTCCCAGGCTTCCGGTATGGGACCACTTCCATCTTAAGCACTCTGGCTTCTCTTGTCCGGCCTTTTTTCCCTCAGGACGCGAGACTCTGACCACCAATCAGCAGCTGTGTGACCCGCCCGGGGGAGGGTTACATGGAGGGAGTTCTGGAGGGCGGTGAGATTGTCCGCACCGAGGATCTCTCGGGTGACAACTTCATCTGAAATCCCAACGACTTCGTG